TAAACAACGGATCGATCGCAGAGTCGGGAACACCGGAACAGCTCTTAGCGGACAACACATCCATCTTCTACTCAATGGCCAAACAGGAAAAACTTGTTTAAAAATGCTCTACAAATAAAGTTCATAGTTTTTTAAAATTATTAATTGTCTTTCATTTCTAACTTATATAATGAGAATTAGGAAATTAGAAATTAATATCAATTATTATTAATAAAATAACAAGAATTAAATTGTATCATGCAGGATTAGTTATAAAAAATATTTTAACTTATTGTTTTGTCACTTTTTACACCCCTTCTAAACGATAAGCCATTTGTGTCAACTCTTATACATAATATACATCGAAATCAATGTTTTCCCAAATAAAACACATTTTAATATTTCAATACATTTTTGATGTCAAAATCAAATACACTTTTTCATAATACAATTTCAAGCGTTTGTGACCGCTATCGGCCTCACTGTCCGAGCCCTGGCTATTGTTGGCTACCTTTCCTGTGGGCACCGGTGGCCAGCGCTGCCGCCTCCGCCTCTCGGGCCCCGTCCTGTGCGTAGAACACGGCGTTGTAGTGGCCGAGCGGTTGGGCGCCTACGGGTGCGCTCTTCACGTACGCACAGCCATCTATACCGACGTACGCCCGCACGCCGTCCAAGTAATCGTTGGGCAACTTCTTGCCAAACGGCACACGAGTGTATTGGTATACGGGGTGCGGGTGCGGCCGATCCTGGTATTTGAATGTAATTGTACTGTTGCCGGTGCCGGTGTACTGGTACAGCAGATCCCACGGGTGGGGCATATCGCACATGGCTTTCGTGATGCTCTCCTGTGCCCACTCAGTCGACATAAAGCCCTTATGGAAAGTGCGGTACATTTTCTGTGTGGGGTTTGCCGTGTATTGAATGAGTGGCCAATCGGGCGCTACAAACGGGCGCACATCTACTGCTGTCCGCCACTCAACACATTTGTAGGCGTTGTACACAATGGGAAAGGGCTGGCGATCCCTCCCGTTCTGGTGCTCCCCAAACGCGTCTCTCATGAGATGTATGTCCGTATAGACGGTGCGGTCGGCGCCGACGCCCAGTATAGTGTTCATCATAGGGTCGGGCGGCACACGAAACCGCTTGAGTCGGTGTATGTGATCGTCGCTCTCCATCCAGACATTGGGTTCGTGTAGGCGTTCGTACAGATGCCGGGCCTTCACTTCGGCAATACCCTCATCCCAGCCGACGATCGCCTCAAACCTCCCGCCCTCTGGAATTGTCAGATAACACGTCCGACCCGTCGACTCGATGTGTTGGACATTGTGTTTGGACTTTTGCTTGATCTCCAACCGCCAGGCGATGGACCCGTACTCCGACTCATTGGGGGCCAGGAATAGCACCGGACAGCTGTGGACACCCACGTCGGCCAACTCTTGTTGCAGAAGGTGTGGGGAAATCCGGGGAAGGCTATGGCCGGCCAGTCGTCGCTGATAGCCCTCATGGGTGAGCAGACAGTGGCGTTTCGGGTGCCCATTGCCAACATTGCTGAGTGCGAACCAACGCGGGCGCTGATTGTGGCCAAACTCGGGTGCCATAAACCTGAGCTGGCCCTCTTCCACCACCACGAGACCACCTTGCTGAATTAGCGTGCGATTAGTGGTCACACCCGACACAGCGTCCATATATGGGTCGACGACCATTAGTTTGGCTCCGGCGCACACATACAGCGCGAATCGTCGGTGCGGTCGAGTGGCCACTTGTGTCAACTCCCTGTCCATACAGGCGTCGGTCAGCTCATAGACGCCGCCCCTCTCGTGGAACCGATCGTAGGGCTCGCGTCGGTAGTAATACCGATCGCCCGATTGATACTCTCCGAGTCCGAAGTGGCGATACATGAGACCGACGGTCAGCCAATAGAAACCGCAGTGATTGACGGCTCGGGTCGAGTCGGGCGCCGGCACTCTATCCCACCGGTCGTAATACGGCTGCGCCAGTGAGTCGGGCGTGGCTCGCGTGCGCGCCATTTGCTCGTACCGTATGGTTGGGTAGAGTTGGTGTACGCGCGTCGGTTCGCTGACCGCGAACTTCAGTTTCCTGTCGTACAACTGGACGCACACCGACTGCAGAGCACCCGTACGCGTGACGAACACGTGTAGGCCGTACTGTCGCCGAGCGGTGCGCCGCCAGAACGCTTGCATTTGGTTGCCGTCAGTCATGTCGAGCCACTGACCGCGACATTCCGTCCGACCCAAGTATAGCATACCGCTGGCCCGCACCTGAAACAAGCGGTGTATGCCGTGCTGTTGTCCGCCCGACTCCCACCCGCTCTGTATGAGAAGGTATGGGTCGGTGGCGTCCAGGAGTCGGCCCATTCCCGGTGCTGTCGACTCGACGATAACCGACACCTCATTCTCGTGGTGTCCGCAATGGAAGCGCCGTAAGGCCACGATTGGCAGTCGTATGAGTCCCTCCCAGTCCACTGACAACTGCACCGCATTTACGGCCATTTGTTTGTCTTTTATTTAAATTACTGTTTGGTCTGTGCTATCGGTTTGAGATGTTTGAGTGCTTTGAACAACTTTTAGTAAATTTGATTTTGTTTAATGTTTGAATTGTTGAGTGTTTTTGTTTTTTGGCTAATATTTTGTTAGAATTTAAAATTATTGCAAACATTTTATTATTGTTTTTCAACGCATTTACTATACTTTCAAACATTAACATTTGTATTATTATTTTTTTTAAAAACTATAAAAATGGGACAAGAGCATTTTAATTGTTGTAATTTTTAAAAATTGCTAGACTAGTGTTTGCAAAGCAACAAACAATTATATCCGAATTTTAGTTTTGAAACCTTGATATGCTTTATAACTTGATATGATTTAATTCTTGTTTTATTTTATAAACATAAAAAACTACCATTAAATAATTATTATCACTTGTTAACATGACCAAAAGCCAATTAAAATCTACAAGATCATATTCAAATTAATGTGATTTTATAGCTAGTTTTAATACACTATTACTTTTGTGAGTTTAACCTTAAATATTTTGCTCCTGCCTTTGACTGTATTACTCTACTACAGTATTCCTGGATCAGTTCATATTGTGCGCCAACATGGTCAAATCAAACATTAATGTGATAGATGGTTTCCATAGCAACTGATGCATTCTCATTGATAAGAACACTGCATTGCACAATATATTGACATTAAAAGCATGTGTGTTGTAAACACATGATCTGATTGTCAGTTTGTGAGTTGTATTACAGTAATCAATTTATTTGATGATGCTCATAATGTGCAATATTATTAATAATTCTGGGTATTTATTTGTGAATTAATTAATTTATATCTAGTAATTTTATACGTTTATCAAACGTTATGTTGGTAAATACCAACTTGGTATAAATAACAATGTTTACAGTTAAACCATGTTAAATTAAAATTTCAATAGTCAATATTTATGTTAATAATTATTTATTTGACATAAAGTTTGTTTCAATTGTGTTTTGAACCCAATATTATGTGCTGTGAATTGAGTACAAAAATTAAATTCACTTTATTTTAGTTAAATATCATTTTTATAATGAGTGGAAACTTTTGGGTAAGTTTTGAGAGATTTATTTTTAACATTTGTTTTAAAAGTTATTATTTTTTGTATATTTTACAGGATTTGAGTCAAACCTGGATTACGGACTCATTTCCCGAGTTTGGTCTCAGTATTGAAGAGACGGCACTCGTATGGATGCCATCCCTTATATTATTCGTCACATCACTGTATGAATGGCACAATCGGTCGCCAGAAGTGATCACATCCAGGGGTTCATCACATCCCACGACATGGACTCTACTCTCCATCACTAAAATTGTAATTATTGTTTGTTTTTAATTTTAAATAGTTATTAATCAAATTGTTTTAGTGTTTATCAGGAGTGCTATTAATGTTGAGTTTATCACAACTCTTGAATGCAATGAGAAATTCAAATGAAATTATCACACATTTAATAATGACATCAACTTTTGTAAGTATTTGTAAAATATTTATTCAATTAAAATATTTAAATTAATTTTAATTTCTTTAAAAGATTTCTACAATAGTTTTGATAATTAATCACAAAAAGCGAGTAATGAATACTTCGGGAGTTTTATTCATATTTTGGTTGTGTTTGTCTATCGGAATCGCATTTAACATAAGGACTATATTTTACATTGCATTTAATGAAGTATTAATTTTTTGCTTTTTTAAATACATTTAAAAATCATATCATTATTCAATTGAATTATTATTAAACACTACATTAAGTGATGTAATTTTATTAAGATGATTATACTGATAATTTTTATCAATTATTTTTTAGGCACCGCTAGAGTCGAATATAAATGTCTTCACATTTACCACAATTTCATTCCCAATAATTATCACTCAATTATTGCTCTCATGTTTTGCGGACTCAACACAAGTCCTCACAACTGTTGCCGACGAAGAAGTATTTAAAACAAATATTAAATATATTTGATTTTAAAACTAAATATTTATTATTTCACTCAGAATTCTAGTCCTGAAAATCAGTCATCATTTTTATCTCGACTCACATTTTCATGGTTTACACCAATGATTATGAATGGCTATCGGAAACCATTGACCACTGAAGACATGTGGTCGCTGTCCACACAGAATCGGACCAATGTTTTCATCAAACAATTCAATAAACACTGGAAACCAATACAACAAAACAGTGCCAAACATGCGATCAATATATTCCCAGCTATACTAAAGACCTATTGGCCAACACTACTAATCAACGCCTGTATACTATTAGCGGTCATTTCATTAACATTAACTCAACCCCTAATACTCGACCGACTCATCACATTCATCACATCCCAGACCAACATGAGCTCAGACACCGGCGAACCCATTTGTAGGGGCTATGTATACGCCGGCGCTATGTTTGCGTCGCTTGTGTTGGCATCGGTGCTCAACATTCACTACAAGAGCCGACAGGACCTGTTGTTTATGAAAATCAAAACTTGTGTCACATCCGCGCTGTACGAGAAGGTGATATATAAATTAACACCGAGTGTTAAACATTAAATATCAACATGCTTAATCATTTACATTTAAATATTATCATTTCCTCCACTACCAGTCCCTACGACTGTCCAGCGCTGGTCGCCAAGACTTTTCCACCGGCGATATCATTAACCTAATCACCGCTGATATGAATCATTTGATTGAATTCTTCTACTTCTTGAACAATCTATGGCTGAGTCCCGTAACCATAATCGTTGCCACGTGCTTACTATGGGCGCAGTTGGGCGCCGCCACTCTGGCCGGCGTAGCCATAATGGTGTTAGTCGTGCCAATCAATTCATATCTGATGACTCGCGAACACCAGCTGTGGGCGAAGTTACCCGAGTATAAGGACAAGAGAGTGTCGGCCATTACCGAGATTATCAATCACATCAAGGTGTTGAAGCTATACGGCTGGGAACCGGCGTTCCTGACCCGTGTGTTTGGCCACAGGGCTCGCGAGTGCCAATTGTTAAACGTAGTAATGGTTATGAGTGCTATATCTAGTAGTATTGTTACTGCCGCGCAATACATGGTAACTACATAGACTTGGGTTTTATTGCAATATTTAATTTGTAAGTTTATTTCAAATTCTGTACTATAGGTTAGTTTATGCAGTTTTATGGCATTCCTATACTTGTCGGACGAGAATATTCTGGACGTGAATAAAGCGTTTGTTTCACTTTTGTTGTTCAATATAATGAGTGAGTGATTGTGTATTAATTTATAAGTTATAATAATAATAATAATCATTACAACCAATTTATTTACTAATTGTCGCTAACAATAGAAAGCTATAATTAAATAATTTTTTAATAAATAAACAATAATTTTCCTAAACTGAATAGAGGAACCGATAATAATGATCCCAGCGATGGTCACTTATACAGTAACCGTAAGTTATTAGTCAATTATTTTCAATTTTAATTAAATGACTATTTATAGTGCAGAGTTTCAGTGAACCGAATGAATGCTTATTTAAACGCTAATGAAGTGAATGAGAGTTTCGTTGACCACAAACCCAATCAAAGGACTCCTATTAGTGTTAAAAATGCTTCGTTTAAATGGGATAACAATTGCAACGATTCTGTGCTCAAGAATATCAATATAGAGATAGAGAGGCAGT